TCCTGGCAACAAGCCGCCGAATGCCACCGAGCACCCAAGCTGGCGGGAAAAAAACAGAATACCGGCCAATCCCGGGAATGATCTAACAATGTCCTGTCCCGCAGAACAGAGCTACCTCACGTTTCGTCACCAATGTTTTGTAGCTATCCTGCCAAGTGTCGCAAGGTCACTAAAAGGTTTTGCTCCAGAAGATTCGGCTGGGAAATAGCTGTGTAAAATCGTGGAAGGAGTGGGTTGTTGAGATCCGGCCCCGGCAAGCTAGTGGCGCTGATGAAGAACCGGCTGCAGAGGGCCTTGACTTCAGGGCCGCGACCTAGAGCAAGCACAAATTCTGCAGCCAGATCATCACTTAGACGCGAGCCAGGGCGCTTGGTGTGCCCTCGCTCAATTTTCTCTCTGCCTTTCAGAAAGTTTGAAACCATAGCCTGGACCACAGCATCGGCATTGAGCTTGCCAGCCAGAACAGCACTCGCAATGGCCACATCTGACTCTCGAATTTGCCCTGACCTTACTACTAGGCGCAAGGACGCTACTAGGGGCTCCTGGCCTTACTACTAGGCGCAAGGACGCTACTAGGGGCTCCTGGCCTTACTACTACGGTGACCAGAGGCGGTATGGCACCTCCTCGTCGTGTTTGTACACAGCGATTTCACTCGTAGTCACCCGTTTTTTGTCCACTATATGGGTACTGCTGGACCTTCAAGCAGCGCCGACAAGCTGACATTTTGCCGAAGTTCGCTTACGATGCCTCACCTGGCGCTGGCAATTCGCCACGTTGACCGGGGCATTGGTGCAAATCCACGAGATTAAGGTGTCATCCGAGCGCCAGCATTGCAAAGGTCGAGTGCTGCGCAAAGACATGGCCATGTGCAAAGCCCCGGCTGTGCCGTCGATGTGGTGGGGATCTTCCCACTTGGTCGGGCGCATGAACTGCAAGGAGCAGAACGAAGCATACCAATCCATCATTGCTGGTGCTCCGCATCTAATGAAATTCGGGTATGTTTCCATACTATAATAAATTTTATGCCATATATCTACTTCACCACAGGTGTCACATCATCCAAGTTGGCGGTACCTTAATGGTCTGCCTTACCCCCACCCGGGTCAAATTCAAAAACTTGGCGAGTATGATAGCTCGGGCGCCGTTTGACGCTCTAAATTCTACGCTCGGGGCTCTCAAAAGGTATGCGCCGTTGTCTCTCCTCTACATTTTGCCCTCGGGTGGCTCACACAAGGTATGCGCTGTTGGAATGGCACCTCTCTCCTCTAAATTTTTACCTCGGGTGTCACGTCACTCTGCACTAGGTGTCGTGCATTGGGCCCTTTTTGCACGTCTTCCTCCAAACCTTGAATCAGTCTGCAGGCCACATGCGTGCAAGCATCAAAGCAATCCTTGCTCAAGGCCTTGTAGGCACCAATAAATCTGCAAATTCTTTCTGGGAGTTTGTCGCAAAGCTTCTTGCCGTTCAAAGTCTCGGGTCTGCTCTATAGTAAAACACATCTGCCCTGCTCCACATGAGTGCTGGGCCCAAAGAGCTGTGCCCACCGAAGCTCTATGGTGACCTCAGGATATGCAGTCTGATCAGCTGCGCGAACCTGCTCGAATACTAAAGCTAATTTCCTTATGGCCCCTGATTGTAATTAGAACAATGTGTCCTGTTAATGATGATGGGACACTGCACCTGATATACACTGGACCATGAATGCTGGTCCCCTGAGACCCCCAACACATCCAAGGCCTTGAGAAATGCTGAGTGGAGAAAGGCACCTTTTTGGGTTTGGGTATTGGTCTGGGCCCTGGGCACCCATCTTTAGATTTTTCAATTCTCCGGTGAAAGCTTCTGCCTGGCACAGGCATGCCGTGGCCACAAGCCAGCAGTTCATAGCAGGACTTCATCGTCCACGCACCACAGAAACCATACCAGCATAGACCCCAAACAGTTTCAAAACGATTCCTTTGGACCAATGTTGATCAAAAACGATGCCTTGGTACGCCCTACCTGCCCCTCCCAAGAGCAAACGGCTTTATCAATGATTTTTGTCGGCATCGATATCGCTAATTGTTCGGCCGCAAGGGCAGACAAGAGAAGAGCAGGACAAGAGAAGACAAGAGAAGGACAAACAAGGACAAGACCCGGCCGCAGAGCCCGGCCACAGAGTTCAGGGGCCAGTCAGTGTGGGCAGGGCTGGTCAGCGCGGCCAGAGGACAACAGCAGGACAAGAGAAGGACAAGAGGAGGACACCAAAAAGGACACAAAGCCGGGCCACAGAGCCCAGCCATCACAGAGTTCAGGGGCGTGGCCAGGACAAGAGAAGATAAGAGGAGGACAAGACCCGGCCGCAGAGCCCGGCCACAGAGTTCAGGGGCGCGGCCAGTCAGTGTGCAGGGCTGGTCAGCCAGAGGAAAACTTAAGGACAAGAGGAGGACAAGACCCGGACACAGAGCCCGGCCAGAGAGTTCAGGGGCGCGGCCAAGAGAAGGAGAAGAGGAGCGGACACAAAGCCGGGCCACAGAGCCCAGCCATCACAGAGTTCAGGGGCGTGGCCAAGAGGAGGACAAGAGGAGCGGTCACAAAGCCGGGCCACAGAGCCCAGCGAGTTCAGGGGCGCGGCCAGTGAGTGTGGCCAGCTCTTTTTTCTGATAGAGCCCCGACAGCAAAATGTTGGGTGAAAAAAGCTTCATTACAAGGCTATGGCCTCTGCCAGTACGATGATCATGTCTGCATGTACAGTACCATAAAATACCATAAAAACACGCATTGTTTCAAAACCATTATATACGCGTGCAAGCTTGTGTAGCTCGTGGCAGGTTGATTGATGTTGATTGAAAAAGGGCTACCTTAGCCCTCACTTCCAACCAACCATCATCACTGCGTTCATCGTGGAGGATTTTTTTTCGCAGTCGAGCTTTTGATCGTTTCTTTCGTTTTCTTCATGTAAACAAACTTCACACCGACCAAAGGCTGTTGAGACATGTGACAACAAGTCTTGGGCCCAAGTCTTGGACCCAGGTTTCAGCTGCTTAAAGTGAGTGTGCAATACCCTGCATCCAAGCGGAACTCACACTCACCTTTGGCTTTCCAACCTCAGGTGATCTAGTAATGTAGACTCTTGATTAGGTGTTTCAATCCAATTGAGGTGGGTGTATTATGGTGTATTAATCAAGAATCTACTAACATCTCCAACACAAAGCTCGCCAAAGCCCTGCTCTGCTAGCAAAACTGAGCCATCCAACGAGGAGTGTCCCATGCATGACTATAAAGAATGTCACCCCCATATACCCCCATGCTCCACATGTCAATCTGCACCGGGAGGGAGATATGACAACACAAATGTTAAGATTCCCGCATGGCAAGTAGTAGACTAGGGGCATTAAAACAATCCAAAGAACACTGACTGGAAGGACGCGTTCTCTCTTCAGCGCAATAACACTAGTTAGTCTTGTCACAGGCACGACCAGCACGTGCAGGCAGCCTGAAAGTCATAGCCTTGTCTCAGCACCATCTCTGGCACCATGAAGGCCGGTGAGCCACAATTCCTGCATTGCACTAGTCGCCCAAACACTCCACCCGTCACCAAAACTCAAAGTGCAAATGGGTTCCTCCAGCTTCTCCCCTCAGTGAATCTCCACGGAGAGACCAAAGTCCACTAACTTCAACCTCCTACAGGGTGCAGGAAAATCACGTCGTCCCAATGACAGTGCTGCTGGCCTCCCATCGGAGCCACCGTACAGAAAGTTCTGCGCCTGAAGCTCAGTCCATCAGCATTGGTTCTCAAAATGGTTGGCACACATAGCAGGAGGTTCCACCGACTGGCCTTAATATCCCGATGAACAATCCTGCAATATCCTGCAATCACAGCAGAGTTACGGTACCGCCGCAGAACCTATCCATGGATATCAATGGAGTTTAAACTTGGAAACGTTGGAGCCAGCATGCACAAATCGCTGGCACGGCATGGCACGGCAGCGGTCAACCCTTTCTGACAATATCCGACAATGCGCTCCTCCTGCTGTGCATGTGTTGAGCACCCAGCCTCGAAGTGGTATCAATAGCAGCTGCAGAATAGTCGAGATGCAAATCGTGATCAGGTCCACTTGAAACAGAATGCCGAGCCCGGAACAAGGCTTGCTGAAAATCATGCCTCGAATCCAGCTTGCTTTGTGGGAGCAAAAATGACCAAAACATACTTAATCAAGCCTAATCAAACAAACTTGGACAGGCTGAGGACATGACATGAGCTCAGTAGCTGTCATGAGCTGTCCACTTTGGTGCGGACATCACTTTATTCGACCTGTGCCATGCAATAGCACAATTGAATACAGTTGACGATTGACGATGGGAATGTCGGAACTTCCATGAGAATAAAGAACACGTTTGCACACGTTTGAATCTGACGCCTCACGTTTGCTAATGTTCAACTGATGTATCACCTGAGCCCGCCGCAAGTCGTGAAACCATCCTACATTGGGATGACGGCCTTCCCATCGTGGACAGCCGTTACTTTACGACGCTGTAGCTCTTGGACCAGGATAGCAGCAGAATAGTCGTCATCACAAACCAGCAAAACAAGGGAGGGATACAAAAATGATTTTTTTAAAAAATTATGCAGACCTAACCCCCCCCACTCAGAATATATTTTAAGGGGTGGGCTATACACTTGTGCACAGTCCCATAAAGGAGATTGCCATGCCTGAAATAACCCTTCCTGCCACATAAGCGAAGTCGCTGTTTGTGTCACGCCATTGTCTTCACCACTGTTCACTGTCTGAAACTCTGATAGGTGCTTAAAGTAGATTTGAATGAAATTATCGAGGTGTACCTTGTGAAGGTATCGCTTTTGGTTGTTCACTAATGATATCGCTTTACAGGGTCCGCTGCGCTCATGATTTCTATGCAAGAACCTCCTCTCACTTCAAGATTTGGGTACAGACCCTTTTAGATGTTGTTCATGTCTCATTTAGTTAGGCTCCACCTGCCGTGTCTTGTGGGCCAAGCCACGTGTTGCTGCAATGCTTGCTCCTCTGAGCTTTCACCGTCCTGGATCACCGTGCAAAGAAAATAAGACTTGGAGAGGGACATGCATGGCAAAAAGAGGTTGAGGAAGTTCAAATTCCATTTTCATCTGATAGAAATATGCGCCACTGGCAACAAGAGGCGTGCCACCGTCCGAAGACACGACTTCCTTTGTGTGCAAAGCAAACCCCAAAGCCAGGTTGCACTTTAGTTTGTTTAGATTAACAAATATATACAGAAACACGTTTCAGTTTATCCACTCCCTTGAACATCATTGAACCACCACCGTGCGCTCTTGAAACCCACCAAAATGGGGAGTATTCTTAGGCCCAAGAGCACTCCTCGGTCCTCCCCCTCTCAGTGACCATCCAAGAGCCCATTCCCTTTTTGGTTCCTTCCACTTCACCGTCTGTCCACAGCGGGGGCAGCTGGTCGCCAGAACACCTGCAGACCGATGGCGGTCCGACAGCACTTGTTCAGTGGCGCCCAAACCAACCATCCACGGCTCCTGTGCCAGTCCATCCAGCGGTTGTATGCGGTTTTCCTTTCATGGTGTAATGCGAGAGACCCCTTGGGGCATGTTCTTCAAAGTGTTTTCACCTTTATGTCCAACCTAAAACCTTCCGGAAATGACCACCAACTTTTGAATGGTCCAAGCTCCCCTGTCCCCCCTCGACCTTTGGACTCCACCAGTGCGTGGCAGTCGTGCTTCGCGGCGTCCGCGTGGTCTTGGCAGAATTTCTTCCCGCAGAAACGGCAAACGAAGGGCAGGAAGTCCCGTAGGCCGCAGGTCTCCTGTGTTCCAGGACACGTCCATTGCAGAGTCATTTTGCCAGTATGTGCATGTGAGTACTTATCATTGTACGACATTGTACGTGTATGTATCGTTTTGCGCTCGGTGTACTCCACATGCTTTGTATGGCGTAGTCGCGTCAACATTTTGGAGCGGCCACGCACAGGAAAGATTTGGGGCCTAGGAGCATGAACAGTTGATCTTCAGCAAAGTTCTTCGACCGCCAGCCAGCCATAGCTAGTTCGTCCTGGAGTGGCGAAGCACTATACCTATTGAGGTCACCTTCACTCCACCATTCACTAGCTGTTGCCCCATTCGAAGATAGGTTTTTGGTCACTTGCATGTGAAGGAAAAACATGGTCGTACGACCAAATACGGCTTGTATCATATTGTCACGCCCTCAACGTTCAAGACCCACATGTGTGTGTGTGTGTGTGTCACCCCCTGTACCAAAGGGTCCAATGCCACCGTTTCCATTACCACCACTTAACAAGGCAGGGGGCCATCCCCCTCCCCAGTGGCGGATGGCCAACGAAGAGGCCACTGGGGGGGCTGCAAACGTACCTGCCGAACTGTTGTACAAGCTGTCACTCCACTCTTTCTTTGTTTGTTTCCATGGTGGTTCATGCTACTTCCCCTAAACCCTTGCCCTCGCCGCTCGCGCGCGTCGTCGTCGCACCACTGCAGATGAGAAACTTCAATGTTAAAACACCTTCAAGTCTTTGGACCCTCCAAAAAAAGCACAACAAAATACGCTGTTTGGTTGGTAATTTACGCCGTTTGGTTGGGAAATTACGCCGATTCAAAATTGACATGTTTTGAAACATCGTCCACAGAGGGTGTCCAACCTGGCGTTTGAATGATGTGTTCTCTTAGCTTGAAGTGCTAACTTCTCAACCGCACAATCTTCATCAAAACCAGAAAATCAAAAAACTTCCGCCTCGCCAGATTTACGCCGTTTCAAGCAAAACTATAGTTGAAAAGTAGTAAGTTTTTGGAGGTGACCTAAATATTTTGCACCCCTCCGGTTTCCATAGGTATATTCTCCACCAAAGACTCGCCCAGCGCAGCTTTCACCCCCCCGGTTCTCCAAAGCACAGCAAGCGCCCACAAGGTCATAGCCATCGGCATCGCGGAACTCGGTGGCTGCGGCCTTCTCCGCTTGGAACATGGCAGGGCGGAAATCGGGATCGCCGGAATGGCCTAGGAGTAGGAGTACATCATTTGAATAGTCCAACACCAATGGGAGTTCATAAGACTCCACCTCGGCGATGTTGGACCGCAAAAAAATCCAACATGTCCATCACGAAAGGCCCACCAAACAGGGGGTCGAGGAGAGATAGAACTCTCAAAGCCCTTTTCGAGCTTTAGTCATAGGCTCCGGGCCGACCCGGAAGAATAAGTCTTGGGAAAGATGCAGGAGGGCGTCTTTCATTGTGTTAAGAGTTGAGACGATGCTCTTGGGAGAAAGTTGCTGCATCCTGCTATCTCAGCAGCTCAAGCCACTGCTGCGGTGAAATGATCCATGCAGTGCACCCTAGTGTACGCTAACAGTAGATAAACATCGCTGGAGCACATATCCAAGTGATGGGTGTCTCCAAATTATGAACCAAGTTGAAGGTTGTTTTGGGTCAAACTTCTAGCAGCACACCCCACAAAGCATAGTGTTCGGTCGAATTTCCAACTTACATAAACTCATCCACGCTAGCATTCACAGCATTCTTCAAGCAACCTGTCCGATGCCGAAAGGAAACACACACATCCAAGGTTTATCACTAGTGAGGCTCCTCAAACTTGTTTAAGTCTAGAGTCTATAGAGTCCAGCCTAAACGATGGACAGAAATGGAATGTCTCGGTGCCATCTTCCACTCCCACAAAGCGCTACCAAAGAAGGTACACGCCCAGGCCGGCCTCATGGTGGTACATCCTGGCTTTGGTGCGGTCTTTAGTGCTCCTTTGCTTCAATGCTCGGTCCAGCTGCTGGAGGACATGGTAAATCTCTTCATGTTGCCTAGTCCTCCATCTAAGAGAGATTCGTAGCTGAGTTGGAGTCACATGATTACTTCGAACATGGCCGAACAGAAGAAGTTGCGCAAGTGTACGTAAACATGAAGTAGAAACAACAACCGCTCCATACTGCTCCCATTCATCTTGCTTTGCCTTGTAAAAACAACTGCGCAACAATAGATACTGTATCTAAAATTGTTACTATATTCACAACTGATTCACAACAACAGAACATTATCTTGCTTTGGGTCAATGGTCCAGGTGCGCCCCGGGTCAAACATGGCCAGTCTTAGGTCTCCCGGTCTCCCGATGGACCAAGCAGCTTGCAAACATTGGAGGCTGCCAACAAATCAGCGCATCATAAATGAGTAAGATTCACAGCGAAAGATTGACAGGCTAAGCCCATCGCGAAAGCCCCGAGAAGCGCGACAGGACACGCCCCAAACCCACCGCGCCTGAATAGCTGGGTGTGGGTGGCCTGCACCGATGAACGGGTTTCAGAAGGGCACGAAATGCTATAGGCTCCTTAAGCACCAAGAGGTCATGCAGACCTGAGATCTCGCCTGGCCCCTGGGCCTTGGGGAATCACATCAGAGAAGTACAACCTGACCAAAAGGTGTCCGTTCTGCCAGCAAGTGACGAGTTCTTAGAGAGGATTGGGATGAGAAAATACGCAGTGTCGAGGATAGGACACCGAAATCACCAGCTATCACCAGCTACTGTGAGTAACCAGAGCTATGATCGTTGGGATTTCTGGTTTGTTCAAGGTGATGTCTTTTTTGCAAAGTCGGCAGCTGTCCACTTGCACCTGCGCGTGATTGCACTCACTCTGCAGTGCGCGAAAGGATTGAAGCAAAGATTCTGCAACAGGAGGGCTCTCGCAAAGGATGAGCCAAACAAAGCGCTTCTGCACTCGCGTTTTGGCTCTAAAAGTCTGCGAGCTCTGGCAGGAGGATTAACTATATACATGAGATCTGAGATGGCTTCTATGGGATTCTTAATGATTCTTAGATTCAAGCCAAGCCTGACATGGTTCGCCTTTAGGATGTTCGTTACCTCTTGCGGCCATCTGCCCTGGCGCACGCAGCGCGCTGGGACAGGGCCCGCGAAAACCAGTCGTCAAACATCTGGCGATGGTCCGAAGAGAGGCGCTGGAGACAACCAACCTGCCCAGTGCGAGTTTCTCATCCAGTGCGGGTGGTGTCTCTCTTTGTTGATAGGACTTCTTGATTGTGAGGGGAAAGGTCTCTTGAGTCCTTCTGTCTCTTGATGTAGAATCTTCTTGATGTAGAGACATGAAAAGTCACATGCGCCAATAGCAAGCCAGCATTTCAAGTAACTTCACATCTGTAAATGCTTCTACTTCTTCCTCAAAACTCCGTAGATGGGAATAATTCTATGGAGACCAAATTCCGTAGATGTGAATAATTTGTGGGAGGCCGGTCACAGTATGGCCAATCTGGCATCAATTGAGAGACTCTGCTAGGGTCTGGAAACCCGTTTTGCTCGTCGCGCCAGAGACCAACACATATACGTAGATATATATATATATAATTATATATTGTATATAATACGTTATACGTACGTTCGAGTGCTTTGAAGTGCAGGCCAATCCGATCCATGAATGTGAGCAGCACGGTGCTCCTTTACTGTGTTCTGCTGTTGCTTGCTTGCTCCGAGCAGGGGTTCTGGGTGATCATCTTTCGGCGGTTTGGTGAATTTCGAGGTCCATGTGAGAACCCTTGTGGCCTCTTTTGATCTTCACTACTGGCTGTTCGATGAAAATCTCAATCGACCTGCCAGGAGGGGGTCTTGCTTCCTGCCTTCGCCAATCTGCACGCCCCAATCATCAGGGTACAGGCTGTCCTTGGATCAAAATCAACACATATATCAAAACCATTCAAAAACTAACATATGTCCCTGACTGAAGTGGACACCAAACTCCCAGTTGTTTCTTGTGGAAACACCACGGCCACTGAGCTGAATGCCTCGGACATGTCTGCCGTCTGCCTCGGTTTTTTCCGACACATGTGCCGTTGGAGAATAATCCTACGAGTACGTGTCCTGTTGGAGGGTCCATTCATTGGGTTGGCACACACACACACAAACCTTCTGTTTGGCATTTCACAACCGCTTGGCATTATCGAGTCCACTTCTCCAACGCTTGGACGGGCGTAGCCGATGAGCAGTAGAGACATTGACATCTGGAACTCAACTGGTCTGATGCAATCTCGACTGCCTGGCTGCCCCGAAACGGTATTTTCTTTACACATATAGGGGATGACATCCAGTACTCGCCAAACGCTTCATGCATGGAATATATGATTACTTTCTGATGAAATATGGCTACCTTGACCCCTGAAACCACCCCTGGAGCGTCTGGGCCCCCAAGAAATCTCAACTCATCCGAGAATCACCGCTGGGAGACCCCGGGGAAGCCGTGGTGCAGCCTGGCGCAAGGGATCTCCGGCTCCGCGAACCGCGCGACGTGCTGCGGCGGAGCGGTGAGTTGACCCCTGCTGGTCCGTGCGGCGGGGATTTAGAGTGCTGAGTTGCAGTGCCCGAGACCCCTCGGAGCCGGAAATTCTGTGCTGGAGCAGTGGAGACCGAAATGGTGGGGAAGGCCAGGCACATCCAAGTCCCCAAAGCCTGAAGAAGGTCCGACCACTGCAGGAGAGCTTCTCCAACGTGACCAAAGATTACGGAAAAAACCTGGGTATAGACTGGAAAAAGGAAGGTTTCAGATCTTAAACCAAAGGTCACTACCTCACTACAGGAGGTTCGGCGTCACTACTGTGAAGCAGTGCTAACAACAGAATTGGGAGACTGTGGCAGCCGAGATTCATAAAGCACTTCACAAAGTGCAAGACTCCATCTTCACATCAGGCGGCCCCAGCTTTGGGACAAACATTCTCACCCTCCCTGCTCCCTCTTTCGTTCAGATCGGGGCTAACCAATGCGACCAAGCAACTGCCGACACTTTTGGCCTGGCACAGCTGGCAGCATCAAATCAACATCTGATGTGTCCACAATTATGTCCTGAATGGACCTCATCTAGGACGAAAACATATTCAACATCGCCCGAGAATGACATCAAGCCGAATCCAAACAGTGTTTGCCGAAGCTGATACGGCTAAAGAGACGAGGGCCGACACTCTTCCTCTTTTTATATATAACATGCAAAAACAGGCAAACAAAAAGCATTGGAAGCCTGTCATCTACACGAACTTTCACCTACCACACCTGGCAATCATCTGTATTTGGGGCAGCCGTGCAGTCCACCCGTCCGCCTTTGGCTCTTTCAAATGCACCATCCATGCCTCGTCTCGACTTCAACAATCAGGGTGCTCTCATCCACATACACAGTTCCACTTCCTAAGTCCCGCACCTCTTCGCATGCACGGGCAAAGCGCGCAGTCTTGTTGTTGATCTTCTTCAGGGCTGCTCCTTCGCATTTCCCCACGTGTGATGACGTACGATGTCAGCCGTGGCTAGTGGCTAAGAGATTTGATCCGACCAACTGCGCCCTGTGCCCGCTGATAGGTCACGAGCGTTTTGTCTTCCACCTCCTTCTGCCTTCCACCCACTCTGGTCGTCCTGTGGATTGGGCCAGGAAGCACATGGGGAGCTCGTCTTTGACGAACTGCTTGAGGTAACGCTCAGAGTTCCCCACCTCCCAAAGCTCCAGAATCCTAGGGAGAGAGCATTTTCCAGCATGGGGATCGATGTTGCTTTGAAGTTTCATTTTTTCCCGAGATGATGCGATCTTGCTTCCAACTCAATATGCTTGTGCCGCTCCCTCAAGCAAAAAACACTATACACACCCCACTAGAGCCACATGAGCGGCTTCCGAGTTCAAGATGTTGTAAGATCGATGGCAATGAACAACTGGGTTCTCCACGGGCTTTGTCTTCCTTTGGTTTCCATTTGGTGGTGGAGGGGGGTGCTTCCAATGCACCCTGTTTTTTCAATCCTCTTGGAGCAGCGTCAGGGGATATGTATTGTTCGGTTCGGCTTGATTCGATGGATCTTGTACAACAGTCACAACAAAGGTTGATCAAAGTTCCACATGCATCACAATGTAAGGAATGTGCCAAGAAGTGTACCAAGGGTCTTGAAAATCTCTCACCTGGAACTCTTGACAAAACAACAAACTCCTCACTCCCCTCTACCACCACCAAAGGTTAAAAGAGAACACACACACAAACCAAACGGATTGGATTCCTCATGAGTCGTCTCATCTTCCAGCTGAGTGTCTTTACCACTTTGGGCTTCTTGGCCAGTGCAGGAACGCTAAGTTTTCGATCCTGTGCGGTTCCAGACGCTTTCGGTCGCTTCGCGACGTGGCAGGTCGCCAGTCCTAGAACGTAGAGAACAACACAAAAAGAACGCAATATTGTCGGTTAAGCAAGTAAGGAAGTATTGTTGATCTTCCAAGCAATTTGCATGATTGTTGTTGGGGGAATGTTAAAGGCTCAAGGCTCATACGGTTGATGAAACTACAAAGACCTAGAGCGCTTATAGTACTGCTTAAACAAAGCTCAGCTTAAAATCATAGAACATTCAAGACTGACCGAATCCGGCTTCGGCTTTTGTGGCTGCTCCGTATGGAAAGATCCCAGCCGAGCCGCACGGCATGCAAAGAGCTCTCTCACCACTGCCTGTCCCAAAGCACAGAGATTGTCCAGGCCTGCGATGCTCAGGCGGACAAGAGCTCTCGTTTTCACCTCGATTCGATTGAATAATTTAGAGGTCACATGAGGTCACCAATGTTCAAATCCAGTCATCTGCAGGTACGCGGTATGCCAAATCAGCATCTAGACTCTAGACTGAAGCAGAAGAGTCACACCGAGACAACTCTTACACTTTTGTTGGACATCCAACTATAGCTGGGATTCCAAGCCAATCAAGCAGGTGCTGCAGGATTTGTCTTTTGAGCCGTTGGTGCCCCCGGATTGTGCCTTCCTCATCGTTCTCCTCCTCAATCTCCTCGTCTTCCAGGTCTTCTTCAGCTTTTAGCAGCCTCTCGAGCCTTGGATCGTGTTGGAAGCCTGGTGATGTTAACTGGTCAGTCTCGGCTCTTCATCTGCAAGTTCAGGGAGAAATCACCTCATCCGAAACTCCTATCCGCTCGCCAAATGGGTTTGACCGACTTCCGAACCCACCGAAACCAGGTGAGCAACGAGTCCCACTTGCCACCTCCCAGTCACCGTGCAACGAGATACAAACAAATACAACAAACAAGGCAGGCAAAAATGTCTCACCAAAAAGAGGCAAAACGCGCTATAGCAAAACACTGTGAAGAAGGAACATCAACACTGAGCTGGAACCTCTGATCAGGGTTTCCCCGCTTTTTGTGAACCTCCATGGCTGGGAAGTCTGGCCCGGGAGGCAAACTCTTTCCAGAATCCAACCAAAACAAGAGAACATAGGGTATCTCATATCCCATCACCAGTGGATGCTTAGTAACTTAGTAGAGACCTTTCCCTTAAAATCCATTTAGAAACCCACTCTTAGCTGGTTTCCTGGGATTACACTGGATACACCCTAAATCTGACACCCGTCCTCCCTTCGTCTCGGTACACGGAGAAAACGCTTCGGTTCCCGAGCATCCGTCTCTTCAGGCCTCGCTTGGCACTGGCGTCCACGACCATGGCCTGGGACATGTTATTAGTGTCACCCAGTCTCTCTCAACCGGCCCAGCTAAGCATCCCGGTCCCAGGTGCTTTGCCATTGGATCCATCAGTTGACAACTACTATTTCATGATAAGATTTGTTTGCGAAGCAGCTAAGCATGTCTTCAGCTGCATGTAGCTCACTCGTCACCCCGGAGTAAAACGGCCTCATCCTCTTGGAGGCCCGCGCGAGCAACGCGCAAAACACCGCACAGTGGTGTCGGGCCGCCGCCGGTGTAGCCCATGTTGACCTTGGAGCGAGCCATCGCCATGGCGGTGTCAGGCGGAAGTTGTGAGATCCATCCAGTTCTTCAAAATGCTCTCAAGTGAAGACACCGGGCACCAGGAATCTTCATACGTCAGCAGTCGTTTTAAGGATCTGAGACCAGGCCCCCAAAGGCCCTCCTTGCAACACATCAACCGCCAAAATCCTTTCGGACCTTCCTCGCCTTACCCATCGAGGACATGGCCCCTATCCAACTGCCACAACTGGCCACAGGCCACCCTTTGGCCCTCACGCCGATAAGCCAGCATGGAATAACCACGGCCATAGTTGGCCTGCCAGATTGGTCCAGCCGTGGAAGGAGGGCAACTAGGCAAAACATCAGGAAGACTAGAACCCCCATGAACCCCCCAACCATAAACATCTTCTCCCAAAGGTAGCTAAAATCATAAAATGCGCATCGAAAGCAGAACCAAAGAGGCAAGCCAGGGCAAACAGGAGTGTGGTCTTAGCGGTGCAAAAGCAATCGCCTCCGAGTTTGATGAAACCAACGAGAAGGGTGAGGTGTCATCTATGTCATCTACATGCAAACATGTCCTCTGAATCCATCTGTTGAATTCAGTAGTGACCCTATCAATCACTATTTGTTCCGGGGCAATGCTGGCAATGCACGACCAGGAGGGGTTGCCCTTTTACCTCTGCCACATGGACCAGGTAAGGATGCGCTAAAGATCTCAGAAGTGTTGCCCTTCGAGAAGTCTCAAATGGACGACATCCTTTTGACTATCGGGTGGACAACAATTCCAGTAAACTAAACTTGACTAAGGACAGTTCCCACGTGTTTACCTTCACCAAAACTGTCCCCCTTTCTGGCCTTTCTGGGGCCGTTCCATTGAACATTGAGCTGGTGAGCAAACTTCAAGAGCATAGTATGAAAGCCCTAGTAGCGTCCTTGCTCCTAGTAGCGATGCCAGGAGCCCCTCGTAGCGTCCGTGCTCCTAGTAGCATACCAACAGCAAGGTCTGCGCAAAGGCTTTCGGCGTCATGCCTGGAGCTGTGAAGGCTTCAAGCGAGGCTGCGCATCCAGTCGCAACTTGGGCTGCAGCAAACTCTGCAGCGGTGCCTGGGAGATAGCTGCCGCACCACCAAAAGCGAAGGGAAAACAACTCTTGTGACAGCCCTGTTACTCGGATAGGGTAAAAACATGGTAAAACATGTAAAAGCAATATGGTATTCACAGTGGTGTTGTCATCATAAGCAATTCTGACTGGTGCAGGATTTCTTCCTTGAACAGTAGGGACATGAGCAAGGACTGGTGCCATGACGCTTACCTGTCTCCACGAGCATCACACACTTCTTAGCCACTTGGGACCATTCCTCTCATGAGGATCACCAGCTTCACTTTGCAGTAGGCGAATCGGTGTTCACGACCCAAAGCGGGACCCCCAAACCTCCATTCCGCTGCTCCACAAAACCATCGTTTATTTTTACTTTTTGCCGCGGCGTCAACGGTTTTCGGCTGAGACCCCCCATATAGCGCGCCTCCTGAGACTTCACAAACTCAATGGGCTCATTGTCCTGCCACCAAGCGGAGGTGCTCCAGTTTGTTGGAAGACCAGGGATCTTTGGGGTCTTCCATGTCTTCCTATTCTATTCCTGACCACATTGAGAACAACTGTTCTTTTGATGAGTCAATGAACACACATCCCATATTGGCCGGTCTTTACAGGAAGCTCGCTGTACACAACATCGCCTGTGGGAGAAGTTTACTCAACATCTAAGTAGTGACTTAGGGTGTCTAGCTTTGAATTTCAAGTTTGGCTGTGTTGAGGAGCAAGCAAGCAAAAGGCAAAGCACAACGACCTCTGGGGCGTTCGAAGCAGTTCTTGTCTGCTGCTTCAGCTACTCTAGCGATTCACTGTACGAGTCGTACACGAGCATATTCTTGCGCCTGCTGAGTCTTGTTCATGTCTATCGCTGCACCCAGAGTTTTGTGAAACAAGAAAAGGTACTAGTAGTAAGAATGCTCCTAGTAGCGATGCCAGGAGCCCCTAGTAGCGTCCTTGCTCCTAGTAGTAAGGCCAGGAGCCCCTAGAAGGGTATAACTGCTTGAGTGGCCAAATCAAACATGATTCACAGCCCAAACTGGGCTGGAACCACTCAGTCTCCATCCTCCTCCGAGTCCATGGTACACCCCGTGGCGGCGGCACGGGTGGCAGCTTTGAGCCCAAAGGAGGGCGGCGGAACACGTTCCTTCCAAGCTGTGGAAGTCCCACTGACCCACTCATTCATGTCACACGTACCTGGACTCATGTCACTCATTCGAGAATGCAGGTACACCATATGAACCACACCCACGAGATGCTCCGCAATAAAGAAGGATTTGGTACTAAAGAGATCAAAGGTGCCTCCTCCAATGCAAACGTCTAAGATGGCACCCAAGTTACAGACATTTCTACAAGCAGAACAACCCCTGTCACTACTTTCAAGAAATCGGATTGATGACTTCTGATCCTATGGAAGCATCCCATCTATTACTCTGCCCAAAACCAAATTAAGATGTCAACAAAACGCTCACGAGCCATCAATCTAAGCTTCAGATCTGGGACATCTCGTCAATTCATAAGTTGAACACAGAGTTTTTGCCACTGGAGTTCACAAGCCTTCAGGAAACGCACTGGAATGACCAACCGAATGGATCCAAACTTTTTTGTGATCAAGGTACTTAATCTGGATGCATCTCGATTCACAGGCAAAGACAATACATGAAAAAACGTTGTCACACCCAGCCTCAGGTTTGTCGGCAGGGCAGACCAGGAGTTAGAGCTCATCAAGCCTTCATATCCTCGCGGCTCGGTCGGCATCGTGCAGCCCCGGTCCCCAAACCGGTGATGACAGCGGAAAGTCGGTCTCCAAAACGGAAGTCGGAGATGTCTACAAGTCGGAGATTCACTGGGCGAACTACGGGGGAACAAAATGAACAGAAAGATAGTAACATACCCGCTAATCTAGTGCTTTGAGGTGTTCCACGATTAATTACTGCCATACATGTGCTTTGAGGTACGAGTAGGCGCATCCCACTGGCCCCCCAACGACGGATGGCTGTGGTCCACTCTGTGGTCCTGGTTCCGTGAGTGTAACATCCAAGATCTGAAGATTGGCCCCCAAAATGGAAATTCCACGATGACTCCCCAAAGGAAGCTTTCCAAGCACGCTGCCGAAGGTGGCTTAACTCCGGAAGTAAGACCCTCTAGGGTAGAGTGTTTGCCACAAGGAGGGATTCAATGCAAATGAAGTGCATCCTTTGCTTTGGACGATCCTTTCCAAATTGAGCATTCATGAACATTCCGCCGATTGAAGTATCAGTGTTTGTGAACAATGATCTAAACCTTCCTCACTCATGCCATAAAACTGCAGTGTGACATTGTGACATTTCTCTGGTGAAGGGCCGAACCTTTCCAGAACTGTTCACTTGCATAAGTGGCTCACAACTGTGACTCACACACGCTGACATGTTTGTACCAATAGTGGACTCTGAACGTGAAAAATAGTGAAAACACCGAACACATTGTCCAATGAATTTGGAGTTCATGTTGGTCTGCCAAGGGCTGTGGTTCAGCAATGCTCGCTCCTAGCTGCGATGTGTGGTAGCTGGAACCTGAGCCGTCAGCAGTGCCAAAAGTATTGGTTCTATGAATACAAGACGCGGCCGGAAACACCTCCATAATAACCCTTTTCCGCTTTTGTTGTTTCTTGCGAACAAACATCTTGCGGGAATAAGAACATCAATATGCAAATGAAGAACACAAATCAAAGGAAATAACAACGCCAAACAAAAAGAACAACCATGATGATAACAATGATGCCACCAACCCAGCGTTCATAAAAAACTGGCCATGAAAGAGGAAGCTCAGTAAACATGAAACCCAATCACAAGAAAGGAATTCCGAAAAAGGACACAGGGAAGTCACTTTTCTATGTCGCCGTGCCCACAAAGGCTTGGCATACATGATCTGCTCTGAAGTCTGGTGCCAAATTCCATGGGTCAGCTATCAGGTGCCGCGGGTCACCCAAGTGAACCTGGGTCCTGGGTTCTTGTACAAGGGTCACCCACCTCCTGAATTATATGTATAATGTTTATCCAATATGTAGACTCAAACGCCACTTCACACATATGTTTCACATCTCCCATACTCTCTATATCTCTGATGGTGAGCTTGTGTATTTTTCCCTCCAAGCGCGTATGCAGGTCAGGCCCAATGTCACTTTTAAAAGAACTTATGGTGAGGTTGTTTCGATTTGTTTTGCTAAGACAATATATCTAAAGTCAAGGTAAGTCTCAGGATTCATCCCGGTGTCACTTATTCTTGCAGTTCTTGTTCAAAGTCAAAACATCACACCTGCATGTACTTGTCTACAATTTACTTAGTTAACAAATGTTAACAATAGGGCCATGCCGGCCATGCCCGTCCCTGGGATGAGCACTAGCCGGAGAGGCGGGAGTGCCAGCACCTGGCCAGTGTACGGTGAAGCTCATGGAGGAGTCGAGTTCATGGGGTTCTAAGGTTCTATTGCTATAATTAGGAAGATCTCGGAATTACCAAGCCACACCTGCTGAATAAGTTCTCATCACTGCCAACTGCCAAACCAAGCTTATCCTTGAAATGTACGTCTCATTTGAATAAGACTTGGCTATGATTTGATTCACTGTGTGCATGGACCGTGGCTTATTCCGGTTCTCGTTTCTCAGTGGGTGCAGCAACTCGATACTTGATGAGATTTGTGTTCCAACAAAGCTTGATACAACACCTCAAACATGGATCGCAGGAAAGCAATCCGATTGTCACCATTTTGGAGGTCATTGGGTTCACTTTCTGAGTTTTGATCGGGTTGAATCTTGGAGTGTGAGCCGGCTAAAACGATCCAAAGTCAAAATGTCCAAAGCCACCTGCTTTCTCCGGTGTTCGCGTTTCTCCTGTCTCCCAACCTTCGAGACATGCGAGATCCGGTGCGCGAGTGAAACCTGGCCCGCCGAGCGGTCGCCCGAGCGGTGGAGGGATGGTCACGGAAACGGCGAAGGACTTCGTTGAAAACGACGTGAGGGACGGTCCACATGAGAGACATGTGCGGCTAACAGCATCCTCAGATTTGTGGCGTCGACTCGTTGTCCCATGTTTTTGCAACAGTGTTAAAGGGCCACAATTTTTTGGTGAGTCTTCTATCGTTCGCCAGGGTTTGGCGCATGCCCGCACATGAATGCAACGTTCCTATGCAATCGTAGTCGTCGCAAATGTTGAAAGGCACTTCACATGGATGCACCTGGGGATTCAAAAGTGCATTTATTTTTGCACGAGGATGGTTTCTGCTCGCTTTCTGAGTTCTTGCCCGTTGGCTCGAAATCAGCCCGATCCTGCCCGCTTTTGCCCACTTGACTTTTCTCGCTCGGGAGCTCAGCCATTCAGGAGGTTGAATTGCTTCTGGTATTCACCCAAGATTTTTTGGGTGCACCTCAAAGTGCAACTAAGAGCATGAGTGCCAGCAGATCTAGCTACCTGTGAGACTCTACCCACAAGATCCTCATCAGCCCAACAGGCATAGTCTCAGTGGAAGCAGGGGATCACAAGCCACACAGGTAGAGGTTTGCAAACACCACTCTTAGGCAAGCACTTAGTGGATTGACACCGTGGTGATTCTGTTGCGCCAACTTTCCAAGTTTGATCCTTAGAAGTGGGTGAGCTCATGGTTCCCCCAAAGCATGTTCCTAATGTTCCTTCAGGTTCTTACAAGAAACCCTTCGTGCGAAGACATGTGCACTTTGGGCCGGATGTAGAAAAGGTTCATGTTCCTCTCTTGGCAAAGAGAGGCCAAAGAGCAGTAAGATTCCTCAGAAAGTATGCCAAACAAATCATACACCAATCTGTGTGTAAAACTGACACAGCATGCTACCCATGCATAACAACATGAGTATACATGAGTTGAGTTACTGTCATTTCCTGAACAGCACACGCGGCATACTTGCACTCATGAGGTTTTAACCACAAACCTCTCCAGTACAACAGCCGGTAAAAGCAGTTGCTGCAACGCACCGCATACTGGAGCATCTGAAACAATGGTTCCTCGCAATCCTCAGGGCAGAGGCTACACATGCAGTTGTAAGCATGCGCGCGAAAGTTCAAAGCTAGCGGTAGCACACTAAAAAGTACGACCAACCAAATGTCCATGTTGTTTATCACATGCTCCAGCCAGGCTGACAAGATAGCTGTATCAGCACCTTTGCCACCAGTAGATGTCGGGAATGATGTGTTCCTAGCTGCGTGCAGTCACAGGTTGGTAGCACCCGAGCAAAAAGAACAGGATCCAGAAGAATGCAAGGGTTCTAGGCTATCACCAAGTGTCCATTGCATCTTGAAACTCTTCTTTGAGAAACTGTGGATATTGGTGTTCTTCTTGTGCTTCCCACACCATATGATGAAAAGCTTGAACGCACACTCCAGTCGCGCATCTAGAGATCTCCCTTCAAATAATTTCAGTTTTGCCAAAAGCACAACACCACTGGCAACGAAGTCTTTACCATACCTCAGCTCCGACAAAACCTTGCCTTCAAAAACCACACAACCACTGGGAAGTAACAAGCGTGTCAGGTATCCACATGCACTTGTGCAGTTGGAGGGCCCTATATGCCACGTGTGGGCTGCGTCAATCATGATTGACCCTGGTGAGGTCAATCCCGGAACGGAGAGCAAAGGCGACCCGGCGGGCTTGAACGGGGATGGGCAATCCTCTGGATTGTCCTGTCTCCACTCAGCATCAGTGGTCATGTTCCACCAGTCCTGGGCAGTGATAAGCAAAGGTTTTAGGGAGGCCATGGGGGACAAACAGCTAAGGGGCTGTTGCTTTGCAAAGATGACACTTTCTACTGCAGTTGTAGCCACAGTTGAGGGCCATGGCCTGGCAGCACAGCTCCACCTCTACCTCCCTAAACATGTTTTGGCTTGCCAGGCCTTTCGGATGTATGGCCAATCCCCCTTGATGCCAACTACCGCTCCATAGAAACGGGTGCCATTTACCTAATGGGCAGCCAGCAATGCACAAATACGTTGAACAGAGCTACACTATGCAGCAAACATCTATAGTGGCCAAATACCAAGTTGCTTGCACCCCCTCGTGGAACAATTTCACCAGATTGTCAGCCAAATAGCCGTTGAGGTGCTCTAGTGATTGGTCTTTCCAGTATAGTTCTGAAGGTAGAACAGAAAACAGGAACCTTGTGCACATTGAATGCCTCGGCAGTCACACGCATGTGTTAACATGAGCTACCAGGCCTTCGCCCTCCCAAGAGATCGCAGGAAAAAACTTGCAAACACTCCAAGATACCCACTTGAATTCTTGAACTCGGGCCCCTTGTAGCTCACAACAGGTTGAAACGCTTGAACCATTATGGGGAGGGCAAACTTTCCTCTTCCCTCATCTCCATGCAAGTACAGCGGAATCGTGCAATGCGCTGGAGGTGACCCAGGTTGTGCCATTGGATGATTTGGTTCTGCCTTCAAAAACATAGCCCAAAAGTGGCGCAACTCTTTGGCCCAGCATTCCTGCTGATTGATGTCATGACCACATAGGAGCAACATACTGTGCACGCTCAGCAAATAGCTAAACCATGTCGTAGGAAGAATCACCGGGTAGTGCACCCAAACTTTCTGAAGCTTGGGCTTTCGCTTGCGTACTGGGATCTGAACAGTATGGATTCGAAGGGGGACTGTCCAACCACGTTTGTGTATCAGCGTGTGAAGGTTCCGTGAAGCATTTGTGACACTACGGCCAGCTGAAGCAATTCGATATAATAGCTCCATTTTTCCTTGGCAAAGGGGAATAGTTCCAGGTTGCTTTGTGTGTCATTTGGAAAATGCCACCTAGAAACTCCCTTCTCCAAGTTTGGTCACCATTGAAGCCAGCTTACACACCCTTTTGGCAGATTCAGCCTAAGCTAGCATTCACATATGTAATGGTTTGTGGGTTCATGAGATTGGTTGATCAACTCTAGTGCAAATGAATCACACCAGAATAGTAATCATTCATGAGCTCCTGTGCCAACTCCGTTTCCAGGCGCTCATCTTCCTCACTTCGACCTTGGAAGGCCAGCTTGGATGGGAGCGGCACCATGACCATCAGAACCATAGCCACTTCAACCCTTTTTCAACCAATGGCTTACTGTAGAACATTTCCAGGTTACAATGCCACTTTTCGACTCACCATCAGCAATGCAAGAAAGCCCCACCAAACCACCCCTAGCCATGCCTCCACAAAGGAAAGAGGATAGAGATGGTGAGGCCCCACCTGGCATAATAGGGCTTGCAATTTCGTGCGATATGCATGTACGACAGCTGCAGCTCCCACATGACCGAGTGCCCACATGGAAATAATGGCAATACTTTTTTTGTCACGAGGTGCATATTGGTGTCCATCAGCCATCTACATCAGCACCATGGCATTTAGCATCCCCACATGGCACTGAACAAAATCTGATGCACACGTACACAGGGCCATTCTTGACCACGTACAGCTCTACTTGGCTTTCTTAGCCTTTTTCGACTTGGGCTCTTCTGGCTCTTCTGGCTCATCTTTGACTTTCTCTTTCTTGTCCTTCTTGGTATCTGTCTTTTTATCTTTCTTGGAATCTGTCTTGTTCTCTTTCTTGGCACCAGTCCGTTTGCCAGAGCTTGACTTTGGGGCAACTGCGGGCTTGATGGTCCTGACACAGGCACAGGCTGAAGCTTTCGTGCACGAGTGCAACGCAGTAGCACAACTTGCGATTAAAAGTCTCTCCTGGCTCGAGTTGTCAAGTGGTTGATGGCGGTATCTGCCTTCGTCGTGTCGATGTAGACTTGCATGAGGTTCTGCTTCTCAGTCCTGGCATTTGCGGCCCTTATAGATAGCTGTGTTTTTGTTGCTGTTAAGAAAGGGTCCTGGTTGGAGGAACTTCCGAGGCGATGGAATTCATTTGGAAGCCCAACAGCTTCTTATACTGTGCTTCCAGCTCTTGCTTTGGTTTTGAGCTCTGCAGCCATCCTCAACATGCAATAAGCAAAAATGGTGCGCATACAATTGCATGAGGTCCAGGTTAGTAGCCAAGGCACTGTGTGGCACGGTCAACCTTCATGTTGATCAACTTCTCCTTCCAAAATCAGAAATGACCACTAAGATCACTAAGCTGGCAAACCCAGGAGGCACAACAGAAGATTGAAACAAACCCAGGATCAAGCCTCCAATTCTGCTGTCTTGTCAACCTTCTTGCCGACCACATCCAAGTAGGTAGCCAAAAGGCCTTGGCATCACAGTCGCCAGTTTTCTACAATACAACAGGCAGGTAGCAGGCATGAGGGTTACCTGGCTCATACCAAGCTGCTAAAAACATCTTGGTTTGCTTGAAGGACAGGCAAAGACGTCGTCTTAGCTTCTTTGGCAGCTGCAGTTGAATGAGCAGCTCCATGATTGACATCGGTTGATCCCATAGCACTGGACCTAAAAGCTACAGCACACACGCACACACTTGAAGGCACGTGCACATTTAAAAGCTGCAACAAAGGAAAGAAACTAGCAAAGCCCAAGCTGCTCAAGAGCAAAGTTAGATGTGATATCATTGGACATCAAAGTCCCATCTGGATCCTCTAGCTGATAAAGGTTTTGAACAAGGAAGAGGGGGTCACAAGGCCTCATCATCCTATAAGGCCTTTTGACCCCTTTGGAAGGTGCATAGCAAAATGCGATGGCTATATTAAGCAAGTAATTGGTCCTCAGCTGTCATAGTTCCCCGGGTGCTTGCTTCTTGAAGTACATCATTGGTAAAGGAGAAGGTGCACTCGGTTGGGATTTTCCACTCTTCTTTGCCATGGACGGGATTCTTTTGAAGTAGCCCACGTTAACGGGCCCACTCACGGCTGTTGGCAATCATCTCCCTTAGCTATAGATATTTAGAATAATTACCCCAAACACACATGTACGATTGGGAGATCGCAGTTGCAGGCATACACATACATGCTGTTCAGCTACTCATCCCAAAATTTGATTTTTGCCAAGCTTATCTCATTGTGCCACCCACCTTCTAGCTTGTTACTGGCAGTCTGTCGGGAGATCTTGGCAACCTCGATCTCCACAGCATTGAAGTTGCCATGCTTCAGCAAAAGGTCACGGATCACATCTCCTGAGTATAGCGCTATTAGATATCCGGCGATATCCAAAATACCACTGAAGGGAATGCAGGCTGTCCAAACTGATTTCCACAAACCCGGCCTTTTACATTTTACTTGGTCATACATGCGACCATGAATCTTTTGCGGGGGTCACGCCACATGTCTAGAGCCTCATAAGAGGCATTGCGCTTGCCATTGGTTGGTTCAAAATACCGCTTCATCCTAAGTGAAAGCAGCGATTGCCAAAAGGGAATTGAAGTCAGATCTGCGTGAGTACACACAAACATGTTTGTGAGCCTAGTGTCTTCCAATAGGTACCATCTTTGTACTTGTCATACTTTTCACTCTTGGAGTCACTCTTGGGCTGGTCTGCGGGGGGTACATGTGACGGATCCTTAGGTTCCCCATGGGACACAGCCTCACCGCCACTTGGAGGCTTCACTGAGTCCTGCCTTTGACGAGAGGCGTGGGCCTGAGCTGGCATTGGGCTCGCTGGGGGGGCTGGGTCAACAGGAGGAGTGACCTGCTCCTGAACCTCAGGCTTCTTTGGAGCGGGGGCTGGAACAGGTGGACTCAACTCAGCTGGAACCGTGGAGTCTGGTTGTGTTTCAAGCAAAGGTTCAGCAGTAGCTGGGGGAGAGCCCTTGATAGCAGCGGTCTTCACTGGGGAAGGTACATAGTGAATGGTACCAAGTTCACTGCGGGTCCTTAACAAGCGCAGTTCCTCTTCACGAAGCTTCTGCACTGGGAATTTGGCAGGCCCTGGCATAAATTCACCAGCACTGACTGCTTCATTGACGATTCCTGCAACATGTTAGCATGTGTTTTGCCAACCAAGAAAAGGCTCTACATGGATTTTTTGGCGATCACTCCTCCACCCTCAGGCCCATCCCCCACTGTGCCACAGTGAAGGCCAATATCCATTTGCATCTTTTGGAGCTCCGCGGTGGCCGCCTCAAGGGCAGCGGCTGGGGCTTGCATGGGCTCCATTTGAAAGGATGGCCTGGGAACCAGGCCTTTGTTTCGGTTCTTAAAAAAAATCTTTTAGGCAACCCTTTAAATTTTCAAAATATGTGCTCATAAATTGCTGTGCAGTCTAGCTACTCTGATTTGGTCATCAAGCGCCATCATGTCCACACCAAGGTTCTGTTCATTCACCATTGCTACACCCAAGTTCAGGGTTGTACACGAACGAAGATTGAGTCCCTGCTCCGACATTGGATGAAACGGATGAAACGCCTTGAACCAAGTCGACTTTAGACCATATACACCCAATGTTTGAAAAAACATGCCCTGGCAGGAATCGTTGTTTGCGTCCGTTTAGCGTTTTTTGCGCCTGTTTGATTAAAAATTGCGCTCGTTTGCGCCCGAGTTTTGCACGGATTGTTACGAATTGTGTACGAATTGTGATGGTATTCCATCAACATCCACATAATATGATCTATACCCAAAAGATCAAGCCAGTCTGTTCTCACACCACACGAGCTTCCACCCAGGCTTTCCGCAGTTCCTCACGAGTAGGGTCATCAGCCAGAACCTGAGGCCAGCAGAACGGTCCGGTAAATTTGACTAGCTGCTAGCTAAACTAGTCCAGGCAGAGATATTTGGCTAAGTAGCTAGATCCATCAAGCTCTCATGAAAGGTAGACAAAGTAGATGCCCAGCAATCTGGAACCCTGAGTCTTGTATTTCGATAAAGGTATGCCCAAAGCTGGATCAGCTCTGCTTCTGGCCAGACGTCAGACATGGGTAGCTGTTCAAACAGCTCTCGGTCAGTAGCAATCGAATTGGTCACCGGTTTCTGTCTCAAGCACTTCCTGGGCAGGTCCTTGACTAGCCTCCACGCCTTCACAAGATGTTGGCCGAGGCCCGCTGGATATGCCCTGGCAAACCAAATTGGGATTAGTGAAACCCCATAGAAGTGGAGACTAGCAGCATGTGGACATGAGGCTCTGACCCACTCCTTTTCAAAGCCGGCTTTAAGCCAACAAACCTCTTGACTCCGTGTTTGTCTTCATATTTTCCTCAGCAGAATGAGGACGCACTAGAAGAAAGCTAATATATATAATGGCAAGTACACCCAAGCTTTCGGCGAGATGTCTCCAAGGGAAGCTTGTCCTTCTGCTCTTTGGTCAGAGGCCCCTTGTCCTGGCAAGAATAAAGAGGCGAGGTCAAAGGAAACAGGCATGCCCCCACCATCAACTTCATCATGTCAAAGGAAGTGCTCCAAAAGATGGAAGGCTTGGGGCACAGTTGTCCATAGTGTGCCATGTAGAAGCTGGACTTGTATACCTTGGACGCACTTACGTTTTCAAATGGTTCCCCAAAGGACAATGGCAACAGCTGGCTGATCATTGGTTTTCTTCATTCCAGGGTCACCCAAACAATCAGCTAGAGGTGTACTGGAAGAGGAAAACAGCGGCCAATTTGCCAAAGCACGTACAGCACTCTGTTGCACATCCATTCAAAGCGTGGGTTTCTACTGAGAACTTGTTCTGAGCCTTTTGGTTGCTCCAGGCACCAGATAGTGTGGCACGCCACCATGAGAAGAAGCAAAAGCACTAGCCTTACAGGGCCACGGCCCAATCTATTAATATACAAAACTTGAAGGAAGATTCTAGCACCTGGAGGTGATATGAAGCAAAACCAAAAGGCCCACCTTGAAATAGTCATATTCCCCCTGGAGACAAAGGGGAGCGCTTCACGACCCAGTGGTGATACTGTGCTTCTTTGACTTGTTCCCCTGCTGACTATCGAAAAACTGCCGCAATCTGGCGCCACGAGATTGAAGGCATTCGGAGCCTCCCTGAGCACACAGACCATCGCCAACCTGAGCTGGAGGCCAGTGGAGCGTTGGGGGGGAAGCTTCAATTGGCAGGCTTCATGACAAATGAGACTTGGACGCAAATCCCCCTGGAGACAGGAAGTCCATGTTTCTTCTCCCTGGGGCATAGTTGATATCATAGGAATATGTGGCCACTCCTGCTTTTCGAAATTCAGAGCTCACCGCTGCATGCCCCGAGAAAAGTTCAAACATTTCAGTTTGCATCGAGAGGTCAATGTTCTCGGTGAACGTGAGGAGAAGGACCTTATAAGAGCTGATCAAATAAAATACCCCAGTACATGTGAGCTTTGACAAGTATTAAATGTTAAAAGAGTTTTGGGCCCAAACGCATCCAATGAATACCTGTCCAGGCAGATGAAACAGCTCATATATAGATGGCATGTAGCACTGCGCGCGCTCGATTGCAAACACTCATATTGAAGTGAGCCTTGGGCGCTTGGAGCTGGATCAGGTTTGGAACCAGAGACTCCCAGCGAGGAACCGGCATAGCTATGGATCACGGGCCCCACACCAGTGAAACGTACAGCTACGATCAAACTGGCTCCAGCTGAGGACAGACTACCAACGATCTGGGATAAAGCACAAGCCGTGAATGACACTCTCTGTCCACAAACATGCCTCGCCGACCACAGGCCGACATCTTCCGGATGGCCCACCTCTCCATCTCGCAGGCAGCCTCCACCGGGTTAGCAGGGAGCAGCAAGGGAAATTCTTGAACCAATTGAACTAGGGTGGAGGAAGGGGCATGAATCCTGCATGAAGGTGTCATGGAACAATGAGCCTGAGAATCTGAAAGATCTTTTTCCTGTTGGTTTTGCCACAGCGCCCAGTCCATGGCCATATTTCACATAGAAAACCCAGCCCACTTCCAGGCTAGGATCAGCAATTGGTACGTGATGCGAACAGCAGATCCAAACTGCATGCTTTGCATGCCAAACCCTCAGCACGTACTACCCCCAGCAAAACTCATCGAATGTTTGCCCACTGGCTCAATTGGTGGCTGCATACGCCTAGAGTGCAACCCACGATCACGATATAGCTCAACAATTTTGGGATGGCCACTATCAAAATGTTGAGGGGTGGTGATGAGTTTCCATTTTGCCTGAGGCTCCGTTTTGGGGGCGAAGGGATCTATATGTAGTCCTATGTGGGGGTGCCATGATTAATACCTTCGCCCCCAAAACGGAGCCCCAAACAAACTGGAAAGTTGGCAAGGTGTGGTTGACGATTCTCCAACAACTCTTTGTTATATTCTGAAGTCAAGGCACCGCCTTGCCTCTTTGTTTGGCTTCATTCTCATCAACACCTTCTTCTCGGGCCATCTTCACCGCACGATGGTAGGCCGCCGACTTGCGGCTGTACTTCTTCTTCTTGTCTTCACGGCTGTCTTCCTTAACATCCCCGTGCTCTTCTCCACCTGGCACTGCCTTTCTCTTGCTTTTCTTGCTTCCCTCTGGTTCTTTACCAACCCGCTTGGCTTTGGTTGTTTTAGCTTCGGGTTCAACTCCCTCTTCCTCCTCATTCTTCTTTGGCTTCCTCTTGTTGGAAGAGCTGGGCTTCTCCGCGCTCTTGGCACTCTTGTTGGAAGAGCTTGCCCTCTCCACATTCCCATGCTTGTCCTTGCCTTTTCCAGTTTCGACCATAGAGCTGGAAGTTGCTTCTTCCTTCTTCTTCTGTCGACTGCCCCTCTTGTCCTCACACTTGTCCTCAACAGCCTCCACACTTGAGTCCTCCTCCTCTTCCTCCTCCTCCTTGTCCTCGTGATCCTCGCTGGCACTATCATCCTCTTTCTTGGCAATCTTTCTCCGACTGCCGGCCTTGGCCTTGGGCTGTCCTTTGGCCTTTGGCCTGCCCTTAGCCTTTGCCTTGCCCTTCGCTCTTCCCTTACACTTGGCCTTAGCCTTTGGCTTGGCTTGCCCTTTCTTCTTCTTTGACTTGCCTTCATCATCATCCTGTTCCTCTTCGGGCTGTTCTTCACATTTCCTCACAGACTGAAGTTGCCTAGCCGGGCTAATGGGATCTGGGCGGAGCTTTCTCAAGCAAGCCGGCTTCTCAGGAAGTGGTGGAGGCTTGAAGTCCTGACCAGCCTCCAACTCTGGACTTGGAATAACCACTGGCTCTGCCAAAGCCTCTTTGCCCACATCCACAGCCTCCATGTGTGTCTCCATCAAAGGCCCCTCAGCCTTCTCGACCAGAGGCTTCTCGGGCACACTCTCCGCCAAAGCCATTGCTGTGGCCTCCTTGGGCTCCGCTTCTTCAAAGCACAGCTTCTTGCATGTAGCAGCATTTGGAGAAATCAGTGGCTGGGTCTCGTCCGTGTCAAAGCCTTGCCAGTGAACCCAACCAAAAAGCAGGAAGAGTGCACACTCTATACTTTTAGCTTATCTATTGGCTATCTATAGAACCCCAATTATTCAGCCAGACTGGCAAAAATATAGATCCAAGGCAAGCAGCATGGAGCAGTGGTAGGTGGGACAGTGGAGGCCCCAGCCATAGCCTTAGCAGCCACAGCCTGCGCAGCTTCCATTTGCCGCTTCTGAAGTTGGAGAGCCTTCAGCGCTTGCACCTTCTCGTGCATTTTCTTGAGCATCTCCTGGGCATGAAGAAGATAGAGCTTCCTACCCCTGGTTTTATTTCAAAGGATAAGGATCGAATAACAACAGTGTTTTTTGCAGATAAGTTTCGACCTGCTGCAGTTTCTGAACATAGAGAGGGTTGCAAGGAACTCTGGTCATCCCCTCCATCGACTTGGATTCCCAGTGGCAGGCTTTGCAAAACCACTGCCCAAACACGTTCTGCAGGTCATGACACTTGCCAACCTTCATAGGAGTCATAGAAAGCTCACCTTTGACTGGGTATGACTGGTCAGAAACAGACCCTATACTCTTTAAATCTCTTTAAACTAACGATATCCCAGGGGCCAGCACCTTCACAAAACAGTTCAAGATGCAAGCCAATGACTTCTGGGTAGCGCAGATGGCGTGTGCAGAGAAGAAGAAGTACTTCCTTAACAAGCTGGGGATTCAGTAAAAAATACTCTTTGTTGTCAAAACTCAAAAAAGGCTTTAGCTGTGAGCCAAATATCCACATGGGGAAGGTACAGCCTCCTCAAACCCTTTGGTACTGGCGCGCACCACCGCAGGCTCCACTGGCTTTGTCGAAGCTGGCTCCTTCATTGGGAGAGGAGAAGCATCAGGGACTGTGGCCATGGGAGGAGAAGCAGCCTCACTAGGTTCATCATGATGACCATCCAACCCTCCAGCATGATCCTCATCAGCATCATGCCCCTTAGGACTTTTATCATGTGACTCCTCCTCAGATTCAGTCTTTGCAGCCGAATCATCACTCTCACTACCCCCACTGGAGCTTTCAGCTCGTCGTGACCTTTGAGGGGCAGCCTCTGGAACAGTCATGCCAGCTGCAAGCATCATTCTGCGTAGCACCAAAGATCTCGGACAATGAGGGCGCCCTGCTGCTCTATTGAAACAAGAGATCAGCCGTTTGAGATTCCATGCAATGAGCGATAGCTGATCTCCTCAGTGTAATGGGGTGCATGCATGGTAGGTGTTTCCAACCCACTGCATTCTTACATCAAAAAATGAAAACAATATTAACTTAAGAAGCCTGGGAACGGGTGGATGGAATCTGCATCATTTTGAAGAGGGCCTCCACATGGAAGTACAAGACTTCAACCCCAACTCTGGTTCCCAAGATCCGGAGTATGGGCTCCAACACGCTCTCATTGAAGTCGATCGTTTTGCGAGAGATGTTAGGAAAACCTCCCAGCTCTACCTTGAATGTCTCTTGGGAAATCTATTCGATCTATATATTTTTCCCCTACTGAACTATATATAGAGCTTTTCAGGCCATACCAAAGGTGGCAAATAAGAACACAGACCTGAGAGCTACCAAAGGGCAAGCTGAAATTGGAATGCTCTCCTCCGAAGCTCCGCTTCCTTTTCCCATGCTTCTGCCACTGCCGTGCTCATGGCGTGACAGCAGGTCTTGGGGATGGGGTGTATTCGAGCCAGTGTGAGCTCCAATCAAAGCGACCACTCCCATGGGTTTTCAAGGCCTCCCCACAGACCTGTGCTCTTAAGAGCTGGCCTTCGTCACCAGGAAGTCACTGGTTGGAGAAGGACGCCATCACACCTGGAGCAGGCACCCGGGTTCCATTCAGTTACGTCCCAAAGGTCCCACTTCAAGAGGAAAGACGATGAACCTTGCCAGCCCACCTCTACTAGTAGATTTTAAGGTTTGACCAGTTTGACCTGAGTCAAGTCATCCAGTCCGTTTTGCCGCCCAAGGTGTGCGAGCCTTGATGCTGGATGAGCGCCTGCACCTATCTCACCCAAGGGATTGCTGGAACACATGTGCATCCATTAACCTCCATTGAGCCACGTGTTCTCAAAGGTTGGAGATGATAATATATGCATGAGCCATATTGTGCCACATTGTGTCTAGATGGTTCATGATGTTTCTACAGGAGATCATGCACTCCATCCCTTGCCATGTTTTCATCCATAAGATGCGTAGATGGCAGCAGATCTCACGAGCAGTGCCTCAAAAAGGCGGTTTGCACGAGATTGCCTGTTTTGGCACGATTGGGAACGTTTCCCCAAAAAACTATACAAATCAAGGAAAAGTGATACAAGAGGCAATTGAGCAAGAATAAGTTATACGATTGAAGGTCCAGGCAAAGACCAATTAAGCTCCAATTCCGAGGTTCATCCTGTTACCCATCTCTATGAGAGTCTTCTTGAAATTGCATCAAAACACGCACCTCTCGTGGAAGTTTCGTCTCCGTTGCCTTCTGTGGTGGTACGTGGATTGATGCCGAGGACAAATAGAGGGTTCCGAATACCCCGCTGAGCATCTCTCAAAAGCAACCTACGAAGGACCTACGAACACCTGGGAGTCGCACCAAACCTCGGCTCCCGTTTCGGTTTGGCTGGTCCCGTGTCGGTTTCTCGGTCTCGGCCTGGAGTCTGCACATCGATCTCCTGTCCGACGAGCCGGCGGAACGGTCACAGCCGATGCGGAACGGAACGGCGGAACGCCGACGATCCCCCCAGGGTCGCTAAGCTCCTCTCCGCTGCGGCCACGTCTGCTCGACCAATTTTTTCGACCCAGGCGGCCAAGGGTGATTTGGACCCCATTTTGGGCACACGTTCACCCGCTCGGAGTTCCCCACTGGTCGCCTCCACGGGGCCGGTGAGCTCCGACAGCTCCTGGTGATGCGATGCGAGAGGCCGGAGGCCGGCGAAACGAGAGGCCGGAGAGGAGGTGCCATGGGTTTTTGCCTATAGGAGCAATGAAACCTCATAGCAATGGGCCTCCAACCCAATAGCGAGGCATGTAAAAATGATACTCTCAGGACTTGAAAAAATGAACGGTTATACATTGTTGTTGTTTAAATCCCATGATATTCCGGACTAAGCGAAAATCCGGAGCAAGTGTCAAACCGGGTCCTGAAAACGAACGTGGAGTCATGCTTTTGCATGACCAACTCTAGTAGAATGAGGTCCAACTCACTTGTAGTAGGGTATGGTCACCTATATATGTTACATTATTGACAACTAAGGATCCACCAGGTGGTCTTGCTGAACCCGAAGAGCACATTCACCTATTGTGGGCAACTCAAAGGGTGGTACATCATTGACCCTAAACCAAATGTGTTTCAAGTCCCTTTACTCCCTTTTCCTGTGGGCGGTCCAGACCGCCAGTCGTCTGTTCACAGACACTTCGAAGCTTGCAGAACACCTGTCAATCCTCAAGCCCCTCCGACAGTTGGTGGCCAAATTGGACTGGCCAAGTGCAAAGGCATCATTCTCTCATGATATGATGTAGGCCAATGCTTTGAAGACAGCTTAGTGGGTGAGATGAAGCGCAATCTTCCGGAAGAGCGGAGACACCAGAAATGGACGATGCAAAGTGTGTCCGCCCGCTCTAATTCTTTCAACCTGACAGAACATGTTTGCAGATCTTCAGTCCTGGAATTGATGGACCGGAGCTTTTCAGGAAAAGGACCAGCAACTACACTACACAAACCATGAAGTGCATGTTGGGGAGTCAATCCCTCACCGCTTTTGAGGCAAACAAAACGCTTTCGAGTCGTCGTTGCCGCTCCTGGAAGCGTTGTTGCCAGAAGGATGCATCCCGCAAAGACCTCTGGATGCGATTTCTCGGAATTTAGTGGTCCAGGTCGGCATCGAGAAGAACCGGTCCCTGTGGCCCTTTTTTCCGGTGCCTGAGTTATTACAACTCTTTTGGTGAATGATTTCCTTTGGAATGTGTCGATAAGTTGATATGTGTTTTTATCACCTGGAAACCTAAGCCTTGCCCATGTATATAGATGTTCTGTGCATGTAGTGCATCTATTCATATCTGGGGAGTGAGCAAAGCTAACGGGAATTCATTCGTGCAACAGCTATATTATAACTGACATAAATATACTTTCAAACTGACATCAATTGACCCTTTGCCCGTGCATCTTTGGCAGTATGTAATAGCTTCGATCTGGCAGTGCTACTGCGGCATCTCCAAGCTGTTCATCTGACTGAGCTCACCCGACCTGTCAGATTTCTGAGCTCCCCAAGCGTCATCGAAAAGCTTCGCTTCTGCTTCTCCGAGGGCCAATAGCCAGAGCTCAATCCTGCGTCGTTCGTTTGGAGTGGAGATGCCACGAACGGCTCTGGGAAACTCCACCGAACGGGTCGGATCATTCTTCCGAATTGCTCTGAGTCGACTTGATACGTGCTCTTCTGGGAATGCAAAATGGTAGAAAGAGAAGACTATAGTCTTGATCCGTTCAAATCAACTTCTACTTCAACCGTTTCTGCCATTTTCGCCGTCAGATCCGTGGACACCCCGGATCTGAAGACGACGGAGTCGACGGTCTTCCCGTCGATCCTTGGAGCGTCACCCCAAAGCTCAATGTTCGCATCGAACGTGCAAAGGGATGGACGGACAGTAATATATGTGGTCATTAGCTAGATTGATGTATAAGATTAAACTGGTTACATGGCAGCAGTTCCAAACTACATACCCAACCACCTTGGACAAATAAAACAGATCAGAATTGCATGTATTTTTTCTGGATTGAATGGATTTACACCTTGACCACCTCAACAGGCCCAGCCTGGTCTTGGACGTTGACCTGGCACCAGCCTGGCGCCAGCTTGGATTGTTGAGGGGCTGCAGGGGCAGCAGTTAATGCTCCACACACTTGATAAAGGGCTTAAAAATATGATATAAATAATGATATAACAGTTGGTGAGGTGTCCCAAAGCATTCTCGGGCAACCTTTTTTTCACCCTTGAACAATTTTTTTGTTCAATCCGCCTCTTTGCCACCCTCCACCTTTCTTTTTCACCCCCTGAACATTCTTTTTCACCCTCGAACCTCTTTTTTCACCCACCTTCCTTTGCTTCGTGTGTTGGTTGGTTGGCTAGCTTGTTGTAACGCAAACCAAATATCGACAGCCTTTGGGAAAAACACCGGGTTGTGTGGTTTTGGTTGGTTACCAATAAGTATCGACAGCATTTAGGGAAAACACTGTTTGGTTGCTACCCTTTCTTTTTTACCCCACTTCCTTTGGTTGGTGCGTTGGTTGGTTCGGCCTGCTTGGCTTGTTGGTTGCTTGGATTTGGAGAAAACACATACAGTGATGGATGGGTCATGGACAGTGAGAAAAATGTTACTTTTTTGTGTGTTGTTTTTTTTTGTTTGCTGTGATTGCTTGCGTGATGCAATATGGATGCTGTGTAAATAAAGGCGGGAGGGGGTGCGGGGGAGGGCGCGGCGCCTCCCCGCAATGCAAACCAAGTATCGACAGCATTTGGGGAAAACACAGGGTTGTGTGGTTTGTTGGTTGCTTGCTAGCTTGATGGGTGGCTAGATGGATTGTCTGTAAATAATGGCGGGCGGGGATAGATGCATGCATGGATGGAGTGCAAATAAAGGCGGGAGGGGGTGCAGGGGAGGGCCCAGCGCTTCCCGCAAAGCGAACCAAGTATCGACAGCATTTGGGAAAACACAGGGTTGTGTGGTTTTGGTTGCTTGGTTTCGTGGTTGCTTGGTGGGCTACCAATGCAAAGCAAGTATCGACAGCATTTGGGGAAAACGTTTGGTTGCTTGGTTTGTTTGTTGCTGGTGGGCTACCCACCCTTTCTTTTGTACTCTCCTTCCTTTGGTTGATGTGTCGGTT